TATTTTGCTGTGACTTCTCTCCTTGAAATTTTTATAATGGTCCTTTTCTTTTTGAGAACATGGCTGGCTTCATAAAAATCACTGGATACTTTGAAGACCTTAATATCTCTGACTTGAAAATAAAAAAAGACCCCAAGCCAACTAAGCTGCTCATTAATGTATGTTTAAATTATAAATTTCCAGTATAAGTAAATTATTGTAGCTGCCTTTAATTCTTTTAACATCTGATCTGCAAGGATAAACTTAAAAATCAGCACAAATGCTCTATTCATTGTTTGAACCTATGAAAACAAAATTATAGCAAACATGTAAAAACTTTATATGTGAAGGCTATCGATTAATCCCTGTTCTGTATGGAGACTAGCAGTGAGACTTAGCACCTCAGTCATATGTTAAGTGTTAAATACACTTTTTTTCTCTTTGGATTTTCTGCTAACATCATCTTTGCAGTGAGAAAATAAAAAGCATTTTCTCTGTGGAAGATTTGTTTGCAACTGAAAAACACTACGTTGTGTTCTTTTTTTCCAGGTGTTAGAACTGAAAGGTTTTTACCCTTATTCCTCTACATGCCTGTGTGTTGGGTAATGGTAATAGGGAGGTACTTGGCTGTAGCAGTAACTTTTATTTTGACTACACAGTGCCCTGTCAGCTTACACAGAATTATTTTTTGCTGTTGTATCTGTTAAAACATTGCTTTGGTGTTTTACTAACTTTCCATGAAAATTCTAATGACTATTCTATATTCACTTTCTTAACTCTTCTAGATTGAAACAATGATGCCTCTTCAGATAAATGAAGAGAATATCTTAAGTCTTCTTTTTTCTTTCTCTGTCATCCCCCCCCCGAAAGATACTGAAAACTTCATACTTTTTTTGGATCCGTGTGCTGCTTTAGTGCTCTGTCTCCACTGGGTTTAAAGAGTGTATACAGAGTGATGCAGTCAGGCCATTAGACTGACTGTCTCAACTAAGAGATTTACTTAATGGCAGAGGTGATGTGACCGTATTTCATGATTATTTTTTTTCTTTTTGAAAATCCAGATTTTTAGAGATAGGGTATTAATAGACTTAGTTGTTTATTTTGAGAGGTGATTTCATTTTTAAAAAGCCTACAAAACACACATAGTTGCTTATTTTGGTAAGAAATGTAGTGGTGGGAACGTTATCCCCCTATTGCAGGACAAACGGCAAGAAGGGGATGAACTGTCTTTTTTACAAGAAAGTAAATGCTGCCCCCGGTTGTCATCCTTGACTACTCTGGCACGTGTGTTACACATGCTGTGGTAGCATATACAGGCAAATATACACACACAGAGGTAGTGAGAGATAAAGATATCTCTCTAAATAAATCTATCACAGTAGAGGGTCAGTAGACCTGACAGATCACACAGGTGAGGAGGAGCTTGGACACCTGGAGGTCACCCCACTGACATCCTACTCAAAGGGATTGCTGCAAACAACGGATCAGATTAGTGATGGCTTTGTCTACCCGGGTCCTGGGAAGTGGTGACCTACAGTATTGTCCCATCTGCTTTGCTGCCTCTCCGAATCTCTTGTCTCCTCTCTGGCTTCCGTGGAGGAAGAAGTAGTGATGTGCTCTGTCGTACTCTTTCTCTTGCTAAAAGTCAGTCTTTACTTGTTTCTTCATCTAGAAGTTTGGGGTTTTTTTGAAGATGGCTTTCACAGCTGTTGTATGGTGTCGGATTTGTTGCTTCTGAAAGGAATATTTCAACTAGAGTAACAGAAAATACCTTCAGGACAGGATATAGGTGCTTGGCCTAAGTGTGTTTCTGAACCTGTGCAGCACCTGCTTTCCGTTAGCTGTGTGCCTGAGAATGCTGTCAGGCAGATGGTAAGGCTGAGGAGGGCTTGAGTTGAAAGTGTCGAGTGTTAAAAGCATTATGGATCATTGTGTAGGCAGACAGAGGCCAACAGTTATTTCCTAGTCTTCAATCTTCTATAAGGAATTTAAAATATTCTTCAAAATCTAAAACCTAGTTATGCTGTTACAGCGTGTGGAACTTCACCGTTTTCAGGGGTAGGCTAAGCCCTAGTGTTTTGCCAAGTTTTGTCACTAGTCACCATTTGGAGTTGTAACTTGCTCCGGTTCCTTGAGCTCTTTTCTTTGGGAGGCTGGATCAGGAAGACAAAGAGCAGAGGAAGAGGAATGCTGCAGTTCAATTTTTTTATTTTTTTTTTTTCTCTCCCCATTTTTGTTGCAACAGACATAGGTACGTGCTCTCAATTGTGAGATGAACATTTTTAGTATCATAAAGTAGTATTAGAGGTAATTACAGTAAGTATAGTGCATTAATATCTGTAAGAATCAATGGCATTATTTATTGTAGAAAAATGGTTATGAAGCTGTCTTATGATATACTTAGAGTTAAATTTAATAGGGAAATCATTTTATTTCCATTTCATATATAATTTGAGTGAATGCTGAGTAATAACAAAGCCCATTTGGAAAATGAGAATATTGAGGGACGATACCACTTTGGACGTTCCCCTTTTCCCTGTCCCATTCAGCTGCTGCTCCTCAGCCAGGCTGATCTCACTGGCACACCTCACCCTGGGGACCAGGAGCTCCACCGCAGGTTAACGTGACTTCTTTCTGCTTTTCCGAGGCTTTGGGACACGCTGCCTTGCTCAGCCGTTCCTTCTGAGTGCAGGATAACCGTGAATGCAGCCGTGGAGCGTGGAGAGAGGCAGAGCGCTGCCGGTTTCTGTTCCTTCCTTTTCAGCCCCTTCTGCTGGGACACGTAGGCTTGTCGTGTCGCACCAGTCCTGGGGAGAGGGGGCTCGGTTTGTAGAAGAGTAGTGGGATGGTACAGCCCAAAGAGGAGCTGTGCCAGTCACAGCTAAGCAGGGCAACAGAATACAGGTAATGTCCAGTACCTAAAGAGCTTGGTATTAAAATTATTCCGACTCTACAGAGTATTAACTTGCAAACAGTGTAAAGCAGTGTCTGAGCTTACTTCTTCTGGAGTCAGTGGCAAAATGATACTTGCAGAAAATAGTTTTGAGAGACGATAGAAGCTGTTCTGTACTTGGGTCCCATTAGTTTGTTGTGCGTGCTTGGGAGAAGGTCACGAGTTGTGATTGAGGCCATCAGCACTGGCTGGGAGGGGTTTCCTTTAAAATCAGGGAGCAGAGTCTTGTCTCTCCCATTTTGCATGAAGTTTTTAATGCAGGGACAATACTGGCTTCTGGCACGGATGCTCTGATAGGATTAGGGTGAAACTCAAGACGAGCTAAATGCTGTGTAATAGTGATTTTCTTTTGACTTTTACAGGTTCTATCATTTTCATGGCACTGTCTAAAAATGTGAATTTTTATTTAAACACGGAGTTTTCCTGGAGGTTAACTCAGGTGTGATCTCCCTTAGTGTGATATATAACATACTTGAGAATTGTGTCGTTTTTAAATGCGAGACTGTCTTCAGTAGTTCTGAACTCTGTAGAATTTATACATCAGGGGTGCTGAAAAATGCATGGAAATTCTGAAGTTTCTTAAGAATACTGTTTTAAAAGTGAAATTGGGGCCGTGTGAAGTTCTGTCCAGTAAACAGCAATGGTGCATTTCATCCTCAGTGTCAGTAAGGCTTTGCAAGCATCAAAAGGGCCTTTCATGGTTTTACAGGGGAAGATATTTGGCTCACACTTCTGCCCAACAGTACAAGTCTGCCTTTTCTTGCTTCTGAGGAAGTAACTGTGCTACTTGATAAGGTGATTTAGGTACTAAAGCCCTGACTTTTTCATTCTGTAAAAGGACAGAGACTCTGTTACCAGTATTAGCTTATCACAACATTACAGGTTCAAAAAAATGTGCCGCCTCTTGCTGGAGGTTGTAGGAGTTACTGTTACCGGGAGAAGCAGCAAATGAGGAACAGTGCCGGGTTTTGAGGCTTTGAAGCTGTAGCTGACGACTGCTGGCAATATTAGTACTTCTCATACGGCAGAAACTCTTTAGAAGCTTTACTTTAAACATGCTTGTAGAGTAAACTATACTTAGATAATAATCTCTGCATGATAGACGTGCTGTTGGAAGGTTTCATCCTTCAAATGGGCCAAGGAGGGGTGTTAAGTATTCAGTTCTTAACATGCTGTGGAATGTTATGTTTGCATTGCTAAAGATCTGCAGAGTATTCCTGAAAAATTGAAGTGACAGAACTCAGACAATTAACAAATTCTTACTCCTTGTCAATGATATTTAATCATCTGTTTTTACTCTGCAGCTGAGATTGCATCTTCTGGCTGAATAAGATTTAGAATCTGCTACAGGCATACCCAAAATAGTTTTACTCTTGGTAGTTTTAGCACCCAAAAGCAATGGAGTGAAGACAGCAAATATTTTTGAGGCTCGTATAGCCTTCAGGTCCTCATTCAGGTGACTAGTTCATGCTGCATTCCACTGAGAGATTAATAGGTTTTGGGTTTTTTTTAAGCTCTCTTAAAATCTCTGCGGCTTGGTACCGAGTTTACAGTTTTTATTTTGGAGTAAAAACACCCCAACCTGCTGCGTATTTCATGTATTTGCTGTGTAGTGATTGAACTGCAATAGTTTAAGTCAGTACAGTGGAGGAATTCCACTTGTGTGACAGTGAGAGGTTCAGGATAGTTGTTTAATGTTGTTGAAGTTATGTAAATTGTTTTTACACCTTTAAGGATTCACTTTGTTTCTTGATTGTTTGCATCTGCAGTTAAGTTTTAAAGGCTCTCTGAGCAGTCGTGGCAATCACGAATTCTTCACCCCCCTGCTTTCATGTTGAATGCTACGAACAAATGTGTTTGCTTTTATGCTTTTGTGTTTCCTTGTTTTTTAAATTCAAAGTCGCGTCTTCAGTAAGTAAAGATTAAAGCTACTTTGGCAATGTGGGTAATAGTTGAAACAGTTTCATGAACTTGCTGCTGTTGAAAATGGAAGCTGTTGGAGTTACGATTTGTATAAATGCCTGTGTTTCCCTATTCTGAGCATGTTGATGTTTTATGTTTTTTGTAGTGGTGGAAGAAGGATTGTGGGAGAATGGACTTTCCTATGAGTGTAGGACCCTGCTCTTCAAAGCGATTCATAACCTTCTGGAAAGGTAAGAAAAACTCTATTGCACTCAAGTATTCCATCTTGGTATTTAAAAAAATGCAGGATACCTACAGACAATTTATATTATTATTGAGCTTAAACCACAGGTTTTTAGAGGTAGAACTTCAGTGCAAGAGATGCAGGATAGAGATGGATCTCTGAAGTTGTTGACTCTGGTAGTGTATCATAAAAATCTGTGGGGACTAAATAAATGCTCATACAAAGAATAATGTCAATATGTATTTCTGCTTGCATTCTTGATGGGGAGCTGTTTCAAAGGCAAAAAAAAAAAGAGTTTTCACCTTCTTGAGGTGCTTACAGAGAATAATTGTATCTGACCTCCAGCCCCTTTGATGAGGTTAAGTAGTACATATCTTAACAGGTAACGTTAAAAGATCTTAATTCTGTTCTTCAGTCACCTTAGTTACGTGCATGTTACAGTTTGATTAAATTTGTGCACAATATTCAGGGTGAAGTTTAACAGTGCCTGGCTCTGACAGGCCTCATGTACCCTAGCATCGCTTTCTTTTGTCTCGATCATGTATCTATGACTTGACTACAAAGTTATTCTGTGATTAGTTAATACACTTAGGGCTTTTTCTTCTTAATCCAGCTACCTCTTAATCTTACTGAAGATTATCTTGTTATTAGGCCTTCAGTGTATGACATTGCATCTTGCACTATTGTGTTTTATTCCTCCTCACTTACTGCAGCTCTTCAGGTCATCGTCACCTTCCCGTGTTGCACTTCAGTTCTTTTTATGCATTTGGAGATCATCTCAGAATTAACTGTCATTAGGCTGTTCCCACTTTTTCTGAATTTATAATAATGGTAACAACAAGAAGAAAATACAGTGTACCTCTCCTGTGTCTTTGCGCTTCAGTAATTTTGCAGAATGTAGCGTTGAGTGTTTTTTCTTTCAGAAAATAAGCTAATTGAAAATACTTTTATCTTGTTTCATTTAGTATCTTGTTTGCTGTGATGTAGGCTTACTAGTGATCAGGTTTGCATTATGTTCCTGTGGTTCCGTTGCCAGGGGTTGCAAAAACACGTATTTATGCAACTGTTTATGTTCTTTATTTTTTTCTCAGTACCCAAATTAGTGATCAGAAGTTTACGTTAACTGACAACTTAGAAAACGTTAGAAGATCTGAGGAAATAATATGCGAAACATTATGGTATTATTTCATAATCATTAGCGTGCCCTTGTCAGGTCATTTTTTCCCTAGAAAAAGAAGAAATATGAGAGGTGAAGTGACAGTGAAATGCTCCAAGAGCTGTTCTGCTTGGGAAGAAAGTCTGGAGAAATGAGCCGAGGAGTTCAGAGTAGTTTATGTCCTTATTTCGTATGATGAAATAGCTGCTTTTAAGTGTACACTCATTTGGGACTTTATGACGAGGTTTTTTTAACACAAGTTCGTTGGTACACTTTACTGGTAAAGACTGGTTACCATCGAGTGCTTATACAGCAAAACCAGGGCTGTGCTGTCATTAATTGTTCACTCAGCCGAATCTTTGAGATCCATGCTTCTGCAGTCATGTTTCCCATTTCATACGGCATTATGCCTCAAATAACCTGTGATTTAGTTTAGCATGTGAGGGTTGGCTGATTTTTAAGGCCGAGTCTACCCAGGAAGACTTCTTTTCTAGGAAAGTAGCATTAGTTTGAGGCAGTTAAACCTGCCGTTGTGACACATGATGACGTTAAAGTGTGTGTGCGCGATGGGGGTTTATTAAACTTTATGCTAGTACAGATTATTTTCTTTAGGGATCTATTGTAAACTTCATAGGCTTCCTTTTGTTTGTATAAAGTGTGCTGGCACTAACAGACTTTCTCTGACAGCAAATATTTCCTAGGGAAACAGTTGCTGAAGCATGTTTTCTTTTTCCACCAGCACAAGAGCAGTGTCTTTAGCTTTCATATTCAGTTGAAGATAATGGTATATTCAATTGAGCTGGATTCTTTTTGCTTTAATTGAGAAAGTGCTCTTAGAATTTTCTTCTGCCTAGCTTTAACTTTGGAAAACCCTGCCGAGTTTATACAGAATAATTAGGAGCATATTAGTATCTACATTGTTTGTCATCCATTTCCTATCTATGTCTTCTAAGTATGCTTCTGAAGTATAGATCACATGGTTTTCCTAAACCTTGCAGAATATACTTTGCCAGAAGGCTTCATGTGATTTTTTTTTTAATTTTTTTTTTTAAATGGTTTTGTTTTGGCTAATCTCCAGCAACTGCTATAGAAATAAACTATTGGAAAACTTTGAAGAATGGAGAAGTTAGTTCTTCTGCCTAAATCAAGAAATAGTGATTAGACGTGGCATGCATAGGGAAAGCCTGTATATTGCTCATAATCATCGATAAACCAATAGCAAGAAACGACCAGTTTTTCAGAATTTTTGAGACATAATATTTACCTTACTGAAAAATATGCCTTCATAACAAATTTCTGTATGGGATCCCTTGGGCAGTGTGTTCAACTGCATGTTTAATGTGTGAAACATACTTAAGTAGTGTTGTCATGTTGCGAGTGCCATTCATCCGTACAGGCGGACTTAGAAAGGCATCACGCATTCCTTGTCAGCCTGAATTGGTTATTGATCACTTTGCATCCTCATCATTAGGGTTTTTTTCTCAAAGCCATCAAATATATAGTTTCTAGAAAGAAATTCTAAAGAGACCACAGAAAATGGATAACTTAACTGCCGTAAATTTAGTGGCGTGGGAGTATGTTTGTTGGAGTGAGGTTTTCTGAGCGAGGAAACAGTAATTATGGAAGTTTCAACACCTAAAATCACGCTGTGGATCATGTGAAGGAAAAATAGTTCATTGTTAATATTTGCTTAATACAATTTCCTGTCATTCATATACTATAACTATGCCATTTACATGTGGAAGAAAACAGGAATGCGTATTCTTTATCAAGAAGTCTGACAGAAACATTGTATAGGCAAGAATCAATGCTATGAATTGTCTTTGTTCAAGAAGAGGATTTTGAAAAATAGGGTGATGGTTCATTCAGCAAAGAGAGTAGCCTGGAACGGACAAGATTCTATCAGAGATGAGGGGAAAATGCATGTGTGAAGATCAGCATCAGTGACAGCATCGTGAGGCTGGACAGTGATTCTCTGACTAGTGTGGGAAAACAGAAAGTGGTGAAGTTACATGGAACCCAAAAGCTGCAAAGTTGATTTCAATATGATGGAAATTCAGCTGCTTAATCCCTGAGATCTACTGTCTTCAAAGACTGCTTTTAATTACATCTGAAGAGGTAACTAGTAATTACTGTTGTAATTATTTTCTAGGTGCTTGATGGATAAAAACTTTGTAAGAATTGGAAAATGGTTCATAAGACCCTATGACAAGGACGAGAAGCCTGTTAATAAAAGGTAAGGTGATCTATGTATCACGTATGGTTCCTGTCAGTGTTGGATATTACATGATGGCAATCTGATGGTGCGTTTTGGTGGTAGTTTTTCCGTGTAACAAGTGAAAATACAGACAGTATTTATTCATGTCAGTAATACATAGAAAGCAATTAAGTAATTTTTCATGTCTTGTTATGATAATTTAAGGTAAGAAGGTTGAGGTTGGTATTTATCCCTGAACTGCACACAAATACCACGTATTTTTATATCTTTTGAATTAGCGTCTGCCTGTTTCTTTTGTTATACCACAGAATTCCAGGTAGTTATAACAAATGTTTTGAAATTCTGGACACTTAACTCCAAGGTTTTAAGCAGTAAAGTAGTATATGGATTTACTTACTTGCTTTAAAGATGCCAGCCTTGATACACAGCTTTCACTGATGAGGCAGGCTGACAAATCAGACCTATATGTCTGATTAATGTGCCTCTTGCAGCAACACAACCATGGAAAAGGGCTGGCTGTCTCCACTTGCTCGTTGCTATTTCCTCTCCTAGCTCCAAAGGTTGCAATGTTCTCAGATCTTCTGGTACTTGCATTTATAGTCATCCGCTAAACAAGTTCTGTCAAAAATAATCTGAGTTAAGCTGAAACACAGATTTTCTAACGGGAATCATTTTGACAGAACTGGGTTAGGAAGTGACTAAACATGCAGTTATGCTGGAAGATTTGAAGGTAATGAGCAAGTGGAGATGAAGCGGGGTGGCAACTTCTTCATCCAGCGTAGCTGAAGTTGCAGCAGCGTGTCTGATGGCAGCTGTAGGTACAGGTGGAAATCGTTCCCTAGGTCGTGCAATACCTTCTCCCTCTCAGCTCTTCATCGCGCTGCGTTGTCTTACAACAGAAATGTCTCACCTCTGTTACAGTGTAATGCTATAAACGGCTGGCTTCGTTCCATAACAGACTGTGTGTTAACCAGGTACTTCCAAACAGCAGTTGTTTTTAAGATAGAATGCAGTAATTAAACATGGATTTGTCCCTGTTCTAAACCAGAAAGCATTAACTTAGCATGGGGATATATCTTATTTTTGCCATTTATTCTTTGTGGCTAAGTAGACTTACACTGTGTGTGTAACCTTTGATTTCACATCGATCTCATGCCAAGAAGCCATTGAAAGGTCCAGGTTTTTCCATACCTTTCTCTGTCCTGGCTGTACGTAACCACCTTCCTCCCTTGTGGTTTCTCTGCTGCTTTTCTAATCGCAGCAAGATCTAGTTTGATTTTCTGGAAGATTAATTTCCTAGAATGCCTTCAGTGGTGTCTTTTCCAGCTTCTGGAAAGGGGAGACAGCTGCTTTCAGCAAAAGCTATTTGTTTTATCAACTTTACTGCAGCCTTAGTGCTCAGATTAAATGTATTTGTGAGACTCATGCCTGTTCCTGGTGTGTATCAATTTAAGAACTGAAGCATCTGATACTGTAGACAGTGTCTGTCAAACACAGCAGCGGCGCTGGCGTGGCAGGTATCGGTGCTTTAGAATTCTGGCAGATTAGTAGGTCCTAGGTCTTATTTACAGGTGTGTGACACCAGATGACTTGTACAGTGAGGTGATCTGTGGAGGACACTTGCATTTGTAAATATATGTGCAGTATGCACGTAAATAACTGGTCTGGAACATGTTACAAAAAATGAATTTATGTTGAACTTAAATTGTACTTGACTTATTCCTGTGTGTGAAACAGACATTTTTATAGAGAATTTTAGTGTTGGAGGATAGACTCTTGATTGAAGAAGATAATATTGGTTTGTGTGTGGTGTTGTTTTGGTTTTATTTTTTATAAACTACTTGTCGCTCCAGATCCTGTGGTTATACACCATTTTAAAAGCATTTATTTAGCAATAATAACTATGGGCTAATTTGAGATAGGTTTTGTGTTGTTTCAGGCTGTTAATTTTTCTGCTATAAATATAACATTAGAGTTAACTAATCCTACTGAAAGGTGGTAGTAATGACTGCAAAAGTCGACAATAGTCAACTGTGGACAGTAGCAGCAAAGAGTAGGAGGCTTTGGGGATGAATTTGTCCTAATATGACAGTTTTTATTTAAGCTTTTAAGCTTTCTTTTTCAGTACCACACAAAAAGTTATCTTTAAACAAATTAAGGGATTCACTTTTAATTCCATATAAATTCTTTGTAAAACTCTTGCTCTAAGCAGCCGCTTGCTGTACATGAAGCAGTACGGAGCAGTTGCAGGAAGAAGAGGCCGACGGAGAGTGTTTGGGTATCTTAGCACTGTGGGTAATACCTTTGTAACCAAAAAAAAGTGGTATTTCAAAAAACATCAGCTATGCCCTTGTTAATATATCAAATGCTGGAAATAAGTTGCAGGTATGTACAGTGATTAGGTTGAAGTCTGGGAACAGGTGATTCCTGTTGAAAGTACATGCGCTATTCCCCTTGAATGGGGAAAGAGAGAGAGAGACACAGAGAGAGAGATATACCGAGATCGAAATCGATTGATCTGTAGGGATATATACCCCCTTGGATGGAGAAAACCTGAGTAGGTGTCATTCTGGTAAAGAAATAAAATGGTTCTCAAGTCTGCTTTTATACTTGTGGCAAAGATAGTCATCTCAAATTTCTGGCATCCTGAGTTACTAACTTCGTGTCAGGAATAAACTGGAAAGTCCTGGACTGGGTGTAAACAAACAGGGAAGGAGTTAGAACTCATGCGGCTGGCTTTCAAGGAGTAAATTCCTTCAGGGCCTGTGACTTCTGTGAATGGCATGAAAGGAGAAGGGCGGGGAGGGCTGTGATTTTTAGAATGAAGTCAGAGATGAAGTGGAGCATGGCAGTGGCCGTGACCTAGTTAGTCCTGAGACGTGAAAAGGAGGTCTAAGAACAATGGATGACCTCCCGAGGCAGCATTAGAAACAATACCCAAGATGAGCTTTTCTGGCCTCTTCAGGAGGAGTGAGGGAGCAGCAGAGGGAGTTACCGACAGATCTGTGTACCGCTTGGCTTTGCGCAGTGTGAACCAGATGCCTTTGACAGGAAACTTAGTGCAGAACTTGAGGGCTTTCTTTCCTGAGTGTCTTTAATACTGTGTGTCACTTAGTAAACAATTCTTCATGTTTTATTGTCTGTTCTACAGCACTGCATGTCTAAAACACATTTCCACGCTGCTGCTGGAAAATGGCAAACTTGTTTTAGCTACACAACTTGCTAAAGGAGATCTGTGTGTTTGGAGCTCACAGAATTTGTCTGATGCAAGGCATCGATAGTGCCTTCCACTGAGTGCTCAGAATTCACCCCCGCAGTCTGTTCAGAATGACTTCCCAAGTTTTGTACGGGGTTTTTGGTTTCAGAAAGCACCACCATAGGATGCTAAACCTCTTACTGACACAAAAAACTTATGACTATGTTATGCAAGAATATTTGCTAATTATTTTTAGTGGCTGTTTTCTTGGTGTGTAGTAGGAAATTGGGGGAGAAAAACAATTTGGTTTGAACTGTATGAGCAACTTAAAAACATCTTAACAACTTACCCTAACTGGCTTAAATGTAAAGAACATGTGAAAAAAATTGTTGCTTTTTGTAGCCTGAATAACTGATGGGTCATCGCCTCTTCCAAAAATCCGTTAGGTTTTTTAGCCTTGAGGAGAAAAAAAGTTCCATCAGTGAAATACTTTTGAAGTAGAGTTTGTTTCTTTTTTTTGTTACTAGGCAAGGAGACTGAAAGCTAGGACTGGTACCTAGACAGCCACGTTACCCACTGTGCGCTTGAAACAGCGCTGATGGAAGTGGTATTACAGTTAGGCTGCGATGAAATATAGTTCTTCAATTCCCGTTTCCAAACAGATTTCTGTTTGTTACTGTCCCATATACCCATATGCACTTGATTATGATAACCTCATGGGATGCTGAGAGAATATAGAAATCTCTGAGTTACAAGTGCATGGACTGTATCTCGAGAAATACAGCGTCCTAAGCATTCACATGCCAACTCTGCCACCTCAGATCTGATCCGTGAACTTCTACCGCTGTAGCAGAGTTCGGTCAGTACATCCCTATTCAGTTTTGCTCAATAGCTGTGTTCATTTCTTTGCAAGCAGCAAAATCCAGCAGTAATCGGTGCTATCAGAACCTGAAGGCTGCAGACACTTGGAGCACTGCTTCCTCTTTGAGAACCTAGAAGTTATCATTGCCTTTGGTTTCCTGGGAGAAGCCATAGGGCTCTCCCAAGGAATATCTAGCTCAGTGGTGCCCAGACCGGCGTTCAGCGTTGTGGCGAGCAACGTTGCAAGCTGCCTGCGCTCTTCTGCCGTGCTAGGAGCTCCTGTCAGTCAGTATCTTCATCTGAAAACAGCAGATTGAGTGAGCCCCACAGAAGAACTGCGGTGCTGGGCCAGGAGGACTTGGAAACGGGTGGAACTAGTGCCTACCTGAGGCTGGAGCACCTTGTCTGAGCCTGATGTGGAGCTTTGGGCCTGGCACACAACATCACACAGATAATGTCTTTTGGCAGATGGTGTAAGGTGTTTCATTAAATGATGACATAATTCAGTAAAAGCATGGTAAAACAAGTTGAAGTGATCTATTTAAATTTTTAATGAGATGTGAATTCCTCAGCTGAGAAGTGGCAACTGGTTGATTGTGCATGTACAGTTCGCTGCAATGCAGCCAGAATGTCTCAGCTTAAAACTGGACGTTTTTCTTGAATTTGAGAAAAATAAGCCATATAAATAGTTTTAATTCTGCAGGTTTGTCTACTTGTATTTTGACCATGTTTTAAAAACTGCAGCAATATGACCATATGTGTTTCTTGAAAATGGTGTATAGTGACACTGTAGTAACGTATATGTACGGTGTTGCAGACACCATCATAAATGAGGAAAGACTAGGATAGAAAATAATAATCAATCTGATTTTAAATAACGTGTGCTTATCCCTGACTTGTCGAAATAAATGTGATAGAAATACTGAATAATAAGAAATGCTGTGTATTTTTCAATAATTCT